GCAGTGGTATCTATGATCATTTTAATGTACGGGCTCGATGGGTCTCTCCTCCTCAAACCAGCTGTGTATTTATCAAACCATTCTTTCAATTCGTGCAAGGAGGTGATGTTACATTTAATTTGTGTTGTCCATTTAAGCGCCATTGCCATCCACCCAAACAATTCATCTGCAGGACCCTTCATGTGCTTCTCGCACCCCAAATGCATACCAACCGGGACCTTCAACAGGCTGCTAGCAGGGGCTCGCGCTCGCAACCAACCTTCGTCAGGACGTCAGCCAACATCTGGCTTGTGTCCAGCCAGTGAGCGAAAGCTGCATCATCATCCTCGTGGGTGTTCTTACCGATCAGCTCTTTGATCTGTCCGACCAAAATACGGACTCGCTCGCCAACCATCTTCACACAATGGTGCCAAAAGTTTTCAATCCCACGCAAATGGCCTGCAGCGTCAGAGATGATATTAATTTCATTGAGCAATGCGGGCGGCGTGCTCCTCTTGTTTAGGCAGATGTCTATACAATGGTTTGCACGTGTAGAAATATGATCCAAGGTATTAGACAGCACCAAGATGTATTTTTTGGCCAACATAGCGCTTCCATCTTTCTTATTGAAATGCTCTGACGTCACGTAACCAAAACAGCTAAGTTCCATCCTTGTTGTTGCAAAAAAAGATTCGCCGGTGCTTCTTCCTTGAATTGGCAATGTCAATAGCTCCTTGAAATCTAACAGGCTTCTGGGCGGCATTGACAGAGCGATGGAGTCAGGAGCTCTGTGTTGGGAGCATCATTTTCTCTGCTCATGGTGCCACATATAATGTCTCAACAGCCTCAAGTGAAGCCCTGGCTTTTCCGGAAGCTGCTATTGCTCTACAAATCGGTCGAACAATTCAAAACATTTGGATATGAAAATTTCCAATCTTGTCCTCACACTGCGCACAAGCTGCTGGCATTCAGGCATCACCTCACAGGGGGGCGGAGAGAGAAAGAACCACATTAAAATTTGGTATCTTATCTTATCTGCGCAAACTAGTGGTTTCCTACTTAGCCATCCAGCCTTCTTGTCTAAATCGTAGCAATATTGGCACCAGTCGCTCTCGTTCCATGCAGGTTGTTTTCAGACAAAGGTTTTTTCCTCAATTTCGTCATTATTCGTTGGCTCATATTGCAGAAAAGATCAGGTTCATCATCATAAATGGCATTGACGTCTCTGATCAAGGTTCTGACAACATGCCACTCTTAAGGAGAGCTGGAGCCTTTTGCGCATATCCTGGAGTTGCTTTGGCTGCTGGCATAAAGACGCTCCCGCACTAGCTCTGCCAAAGCAGGGTCATTGACCTTGGAGGGTCTACCCCCTTGAGCTTGCTGCGCCTCTTCGGGCGTGGCAGCACACTGTGCATTCACCCATCTTTATTGTCCAATGGTATACCCCATGTTTTGCACTGAGTCTCGTGTTCTGAAGACCTTTCGAATTAATGCATCAATATGCCGACGAATAGGAAAAATGCTTGCGCTCAGCGTGCTCATAAACCCAGTGGTGTTGCTCCCGGAGGAATTATTCAGAGGTATCATCCTTAGATTGCTGCGTTGCATGGAATTGGTCTCGACAAAAGCAACGCAACCCAGAAACCTTCTGACATTAATGGCACCTCTATACAGGAACTACTACATTCGCACTGCTTACGGCACCACAACAAGAGAGCAATCACAGCATAGAGAGCTATCCATTGCTTATCACAATAGCGCAACGCCACCGTTGCTCAAACACAGCACCACAACGAGAGCGCCCAATGAGCGAAGCGCCGCACACGGCACCACAACGAGAGCGCCCAATGAGCGGAGCGCCACAACTTGAGCAAACGCAATGGCGCAATACCACAACAATACGGCACCATAACGAGAGCTCACACCACGCTTGGGCCACACTAGTTACAAGGACTAGCGCAGGCATTGGGGAAAACAAAAAATTGTTGAGATTTGCTGGGATTCGGAGGCTTTGGCTGACCTTTTAATATCGCCAGGTTTGTGTTTCCGGCTTTCCTCCCTCAAGGCTAGCCCTGTCGAATCGATTTCTAAAAGTTCTTTTGCGAGCAGACGAATGCCGGCCTTTTCTGTTTCGTTTTTCTTGTCATACCCCATGGCGGACTACAAATATTGTTGAAATTAATAGAAATGTATTCCTTGGTAAATTCCAGCAAAAACAGCGTTTACAAAAACATGTGGGGGTTGGGCACCCAAGTAGACAAATCGTTAATGTATGGTATCGGTAAAGTATCGGTAGGGGTATCGATAATATCCCCGATTTCCCATTACTAAATAAGTCGGTCTACATGATATTATCGTTAGGTTGCAAGCTGCTAGGCACTTAGCACGACGTGGAATTTCTTCCGGCTCAAGTGTCCCCAGCTCATATGTTTTCTGCTTTGTCTGGTCGCAAAGCTCCAAATCGTCCCCAATCGCGGTGATTAGACCACAAACCCCGGCCACTAAATAACAAAAACCTAAACAGAAACCGCAGGGAATCAGATCAAGGACAGCGCTTGCAAAGGCATGCGTCGCCTTGCCCCCCTCGTGATTTCTTCATTTCTGACAAATATTCATTCCAAGCTAGCACGACGTCTGTCGCATCGGGCATTAATTCAAGAATTGCAAAGGAACGTGAAAGACCTAGCCGGCGACAGGCGGCAGAGCAGCTAGCTCCCAATCACAATTGAGTAGTTCGGGCCTGAACGCATTTCCCAATCATGTGAATGTTTGGTTCGATAACAAATCCAGCATGTATCCTGGTACTCGTGCTCCTGCCCTTTTGGGTTGCCAACTTTGCTAGGCAAAAGCTTGGCCTTGAGCTGCAAGGCAGCCACCATATCATCCGATATGTCTGGAGGTGGCCCTAGAACCCAATGCCTCTTCCTGCGAAGCCTTATCCGTTGCATGGGAGGATTAGGCGGCGTGCTTGGCAAGGAATCCGTTTTAGCCTTTGGCGGTGGAGAAGTATCAGGAGTAGGAGCCTCAGTGGTCAGATAATTCATTTCTTAAAAGAAATGGATTGCTAGCAAATAAAACACCAAAAACTATGTGACTAAAAACGTGTAAAATTGCCAAGATCTTATCAGGCAATTATTTGAAACAATTTCTCTTCAGCCACATTGACCTCAGTTGGCTAGCGCGATCTCCATCTCCATAAGTTCCTCAGGAAAAGATGATATGGGAAGGTTCTTGGACGTTATTGCCCCTATATCTCATCAGGTTCAAATATAAAGACTTCGGATAATCAATACCAAGCGCCAGGAGCTTTTGGCGGTGCATTTAGCTCAGGAGTTGTTGGTGCTTTAGTTGATGTAAATTCCAATTGCAAAAAGTCCTCAAGAAAGAATCATAAAAAAGGTTGGATAAATCCATCCATTGCCTTTAGACGGCTCTGGAAGGTTAATGACCTAATAATACCTTCATATCGATGGATACGATATTCTCTCCCAGAGACACCAAGGCGATCCTCAATTTGCCAGGCCACAATGCGTCCCTATACAGAATATTAAACCATTATGGTTTATTAGATTTCTATGTATAATAACATCGTACCAAATTAGCAAATTCTTTTTAACCACCAATCTTCCAAAATTAATTACAAATATATAATTCCACAATCTTTAAAAGAATAAATGCAATCAATAATCATTAAAAAATATTAAAAAAAGATATCGGAAATATAGGGTATTAATCAAATCCACAATATTAAAGATAATCCTTTATTAAAATATATCTATAAATATTTCATCGAATATTCATATCGAATCAATTAATTAATAATTAATAATAAATAAATATATAATTTAATTCTATATTTAATATTATATAAAAAAAAATTAATATATATAATGTTTTATCCATATGTTTATATTTAAATAATAATTTATTATTTGTATATATTCGAATAGAAATTTCCCTATTAAGATAATATATTAAAATAATCCAAATATAATATATATATTATTAATTATTCGTTTAATTCTTAATATAAATCTATCGATTCGAATATAAAAATATTTAAATATAGAAATATATTAATATATAAATAAATAATCAATAAATTCTAAATTAATAATATATATATATTAATATTCTATAAAATATATATAAATATATATAATAGAATATTAATTTCATAATATATAATATAATATAATAGTAATATATTAATTGTTATATAATATGTAAAATATTTTTTGGATGTCTAATGTTGGATAATTGGAAAATGTGATTTGGAATTCTTTTGAATTCCAAAATATCGGAGATAATTGAAGAGATTTCTTTTCAAAGAATTCAATCATCGAAAAAATGATTATTCCATCGATTTATTTGCATTATATCCTTGATTCGTATCCAGATTGAAGTCCTGGATTCGCAATCCGGTGGATTGGGAAGAATTTCGATATGTTGTTTTTTCAAAATATGCAGATGGAAACCATCCCATTGGAGGTTGAATCCCCAATGAATAGGCGTTTCATGATATGTCACGGTCTTTCTCATTGCAATATGTTTCAATTCGCATTATCTCAAATTATCCAATATTCAGTTCAGTGATGATCTAGACCTGCAAGCTTGCGAATACGTATTTGTTGCATCTTTGTGGTCGTTTCATTGTTCTTTATTCATGGAGAAAGCCTGTGGATCTCTCCATCCAGCCGATTGATACCCATCCGCCATCCGCCTGAAGGCATGGATCTTTCTGGAGCGGCTGACTGGGCGGGGTCCTTCGATGCAAAGGGTGTCCAGGACTGTCCGTTCAGTCAAGTGCAAGAATTCGAAGACTATGGGAGGATATCCTGTTGATATGCACAAACTTTTGACAGGGGCATGCTGCACTAAACCAAATGGAGGGTACAAAAGAGCGTCCCATGCAAAGGCTGGGGTCGTTTCCTGAAGTTCACGGTGTGGTTGGTTGATGTCAGCTTCACCTTGAGCCAGCACATCAATGTAAAGCTTCGGTCTTGCCCTCGACAACTCCATCAGAGCTTGAAAACCTTGGCCAGCAAGTACGGCTCAAAAAGAAGTGAAGCCTACTGCCCAAGCCCTACAGAATATACGATTTCAGAATCTAGTCCCCGAAGAGTCTCTATGTCATGTTTGTTTTTCTTCGCCACGTAAACCCTTGTGGCCAAAGTCGTTGTTCGCCAAGTATAGATCTTCTCTGCTCGGGAAGACTTCCATTCCAGCACCAAACGCTCCACATCTTCATCCTTCAGCCCACACGACTCCATCTGCAGGAACTTCGCTTGGGTCCGCACCACGGCCACTGCTGCACTTCCTGAGAGCCTGTTGCCATTTACGACAATCCTTAGTCGCTTAGGGATTCAAGGCTAAAAGGCTGTGGCCGGTGGGCAACTTGGGATCCTTGGCCAGTGGAGAAAATGAAAGTCATGTGAAACAGTGGATGTTTCAACAGGAGCATCTACAAGGAAAACCTCTCTTTGAGTTGAGGAAACCGAAGGAAACCGATTTTTCCTGTCGATTTTCCTCTAGAACAGCTTTTTGACTGAAACAGGATCAGGAATCTCATCAAGCTCTTTGTAAAAAGGCAAGGCCGCACAAAGGACTTCAAGTGCCTCCTCGTTAAGATTCCCGGCCACTTCAAGCTGTCTAGTACTCAAGACTTTTTCCTCAAATACCTTTTGCTGGAGCTTCATCACTAGTTCTTTGTCGTCTTGATGTGTGAATTGGAGGCCTAATTCATCCACCCTTTTCCGGAACAGCTCTGGCGGCAGAGGGAATGATCTTTCCAGTGAGATCCTTAGGCTTGCCCACTGCATCTCCGCCTGACACCATCCTCGTAGCATGTAGGGCGTAGTATTCAGCTTGAGCTGATCAATAGACATTGCCAGCACTGCACGTCCTTCTGGCTGCATCCAAAGCAACACAACAAAGTCTGCTCCAAGAGCTTCAGGCTAAGTTTGCAAACGTTAAACATCTTTGCAGCGTTACCGTTAATGTGGACTCTTGATTACTGTAATAAATCCTTCCATGTGAATTGGAAGTCCTCTTCATATGGGGGGTTTATTAATCAAGAGTCTACATTTCATTACAGTATCTGACGCACTCTTTGTCTCAACTCCGAGTGACAGGTTGGTTTGGGGGTCTGCCCAAACAAATGACTGCAATGAGCCCCGAGTCCACCTTTGAGCAGGTACAGTAGCAACTGTATCTGGCACAACCTTTTGCGTCTGGTAAAGTTTACAGGGTATCTCTTTGCATCCCTTTACACTTGGATTTTGACTTACAGTAGGTGTTCATTATTCGTGAGACGGAATCACCGCGAAAGCGCAGGTGTTCAGGGTACATCAAATCTTCATCGGCTGGGTCCTCGTTCAGAGTATGCTTGAATCGAGCCCTGATGCTTCCATGTGGCTGGTGTAAGCTCATCAAGAATGTGAACCTTGACTGCTTCATGCGCATACAAGGTGTGCATATGATCAAGTGCTTGTCGGAAGAGATGTTCCTGTAGCTCCGTCCGCTCGCCATACTGATAAAGGGAGGTATAGTCATAGAAGAGCCACACTACCTGATTGGAAGATGTAGATCGCTCAATCTGCGTGATCGAATGAAGCTGAAAGCCCCAAGGATCCGGATGTTCCATACTCTCCCAAGCATGTGAGATAGATTCAAAAACTACAGTTACTCTGCGTGGCGACGGCTTCATGATAAAGGTAGTTGCATTGCCCAACTCATCAAACTCAAGGCTGCGCAACTCCTCGATCTGTACCAGGGCTGGTTGGCCAGCCGTGGTCCTTTCCAAGTCAGCTTCTTGCCGACGAGGAAATTGTCCCCCACGATGGCGCAGTTCACGCAAGTAATCCAGGCGTATCAACCCAATCTTCGCATTGATGAGGAGCTCTACTAGCTGCCGCGGATCTTGCAAGTTGTATGCACCTGACAAAAGGCTGTGTTCCTCATCCCCTGTGGTTGGTTGTGCGACACTGCTACACTGCTAACAGTGCATTCATAATCGATAGAGTCATGTGTTCCAAATTTGATGGGGTATATGGCAGAGCTCTCTATTAACTTCACTCTTTCGCAGCCAAAATCACATATCATCTGCCCCTTTTAGTCACACGGGGTACGGGCATGTATCAGTGTAGCGCTTACTTTATTGCAAAGTGCCAAGTGCTTCCAAGCAGCCGTGTGGGGTCTGAGTTGGCGGCTTGGTACCGAGGGAGTCACTTTCCGATGAGGCCAGCGAGGCCTACGAGGCTTGACCGGATCTGCTTCAAGCGTCCCACCCCGAACCGAGTCATCAATATATCCTGCTCGCCTCTGGAAGTAGCAAAACTAAACCCTCCAAAGATCACCCCAACCACCAAAGTCGCTGCCTCCACGTCTGAATCATCACAAACCGGCATGGATGCAGCATCTTCCTCCTCTTCTCGGGCCTGCAAGCCCACACAATGTCCATTCGCCTGCTGTCCAAAGGCTGTATTGTGCTTATATGTTGACTTACTATATATATATATATATATATAAAGAGTAGAGCACACCTCTTTTCTGTTCGCTCTGCAGCAAGATTGTCACATAATAAGAAAAATTGGGAACAAAAAATGATTCCCCCAATAAAAGTTCGAGTGGAGTATCCCCCCCCCTTCCTGGTCCACAACTCAAGGAACGGAGCGTACCCGGATACTCGTCCCCCCCTGACCAGGTGGGCCACACCCCAAGCCCTGGCCAGGCCCCAAGGGACATACCAGCTTTTTCCTCTCTTCATAGCTGGTCTTTTGGAGGGGTGTTTGTTTCCACGTCCCCCCAGGCCTCGTTTGAGAGAGGCCGGCCTGTTGCTTTGCAACGGCTCAAATGTTTCAAATTTGAGGATCTGAATTCACAAAAAAGGTGCGAAAAGGTGCCAAAAACCGTTCCATGGGATCCAACTTCATTTCAGCCAGGATGGCTCTGGATAGGTACAAACGTGCCGTTTTCTGAGCCTGCCATCTACCGAGGACCATTACCCGATCAAGATTGCCATGTTGGCAAAACCACCGTGTGGCCCCCCCCTCTTCTCAGCGAGTAGGGCCTGAGCTCTAGGGGCTCCAATTGCAGGCTTTCAATGCAGGATTCAAATAATTTGCGCCAGCGGGCGGCGCCCGGGCACAATTTCTGGTGTGGTGACCCAGTGCTGTACAAGTCGGAAAGCAGTATCATGACCGATGGAAACACTCTCTTGGACACCAGCCCGTTTACCCGCCTTCGTAAGGCCTAGGGCCACTACTGCTGTGCGCAATTTGGTAGAAATTTCCACTCTATCGCGGACCACATCAAACTGTTCCCCTGTACGCAGTATGCCATAAAAGCACATCAGTAAACTAGTGGCGAAAGCATAATGCCCATGGTACAGACTCCAGCCTACCATGCTATGCAGGACAACCTCTGGTACTGGTGGCGCGCGATTTGGCAACTCATGTGTTACCCGTCTTTACCAATCTCCATGCTCCTGAAAGATGATCACGGATTTTAGCATCGTGGTCTTGCAAAGAAGCCAGGGTGTCGGCGGCCAGTCCACGCCCCTCCCCCGTCAACCACAAATGCTCTATGTATTCCATGACCAATGGGTCCAGCTGATCGCGCTTGCTGGGGAGCTGAAGGCCTTCGGCCTTTAAAAAGGAGAGAAAACGGTTGAGAAGGTTGTACGGTGAGCTGTCGAAGCGTGCCGAGCTTTTGCCTATCTCTTGCTCTGCTAGCCTGAGTTCCTCCCTCAAATACGGCTTTTGGCATGACGGAACTTGGTTCGTACCGCCCACCGCGACGGACGATCCGCCGGGTTGAGGTCGGTACTCACGTACCCCCATAGACCAACCACATTGTGGGCTAGCAAGAGCGAGTTGATTCGGCAAAGTGTTCTCCTCAGACGTCTGCTCGATGTACGTCCCCTGGTCATGCTGTGTAAGCAAACCAGAGAATCTGTAAGATGCAAGATTCGACAGTCATGGTTCTGTAAATGCTCCAGGCGCCAACGCAAGCATGCTAGGGATGCTCGCAGCTCCAGGGAATTTATATGTTCACCCCGTCCCAAGCATTTCCAACCTGATACTACCTTTCACTTCCACATCTTTGGGTTTACTGTGTGGCGCAGGCGCTGATGACCTTGAATTTCGTCCGGAGTACTGGTCAGCATGAGGTCCGAGCCTTTTGTGGATACCAAGCGGCCTGGTTGCTGCACCAGGTGCTGTTCAGAGGCACTGTCGGGCGCGAGGTTGGGCCGCAGCGGTGGCCGCATCAACCGCGATTGGATGCTTTCCACGTCCAAGCGATCCAATACCTGTGATGGTGCCAGTGCACTACCGGCACGGACCAGGCATTTCCAACAAGGCTGAGTCTCTTGTCATTGTAATCCTCCTTCTTGCGCTGTGACTTAGGATAGCACATCTGAGTATATCCCACTGGCAGCCCCATCATATATTATTCACGTTCATGTATTGAAGGCAACCGATATTCCCCCTTGCGATTCTGCAAGCAATGGCGGGGCAAATATTGGTACGGTGGGAATCGGTGCTTGTCTTGCTCCCACCGGCTCACCGTGTCATCGTCACAGGCGCTCAGGCCCGCAGGTCGGTGTCCTCGTGAAGTCCGTGGTCTTGATGTCGTGAAAGTAGGGAATGACTGAGTTGCGTCAACCTTTGTCCACCCCGCCTCAACTGATCTCTCCCAGCCTCGGTCATTGCTTAATGTCAATCGACGCCCGTGAATGTCCACATCCGGTCCTGACCCGTCAATGTTCCAGGTCAACCAGTATAATCGTGGCCGATTACACCAGGTCATGGCTCCAGCATCACATTGCCAGGGCCTATCCCCGAAACTGTCCGACATGATGTCCTTGTCCTTCTCGCCCATGGAGGCCACGCTCTCCATAAGCGTATGGGTCTGCGCCCAGGGGAAGTGTGACCGGATAAGATTTGCGATCCTCTGTACGTGAATGAACAAAGAAGACCTTTCATCTCGAACACTCCTTTCTTCTGACTGTTCAAACCTGAAACCCCCCTGACAGGGCGGTCCAGCCCCGATGAGGACCAATTCAACTTGACCGTAGGTCAGCGACCAATGGATGACGTCTTTCTCATTCACATCGACAATGTCGGGGTAGTGGAGGGTACCCGGAAAGTGATGTTCCACGACGCGCCGTGCAGCAGGGTCCTTTTCAATCGAAATGTGCCCCGAGACCTCACACCCCAGGAGGTCCAGCGCGGTCCTCAAGCAACCGATCCCATCGAATAGCCCCACACTGTGTACCCCGCCTCCACGCGAGTCCTGCATTTCCCAGGGACCTTCCCCGTTTGCAACTTGCTTCCCAAAGGTGGTCAGGCTCGTGGCCACGCACACTCCACCACCATGTTCTGATGCGTCTGAGCACGTCACCGTTGGGTCCAGCGCCAAGCGGAAGTTCAAGCGGCATAGGGGAATAAGGCGTAAAAACCTATAAATCTCCTATTTCACTGTATGGGGTATCGGAAGCGCACGACGTCCAGCGTGATTGAACGATTCGATGTACTTCCAGGATTGGTTGAGCCCCCCTAGCAGCTGCCTGCGACAGGTCGCAAAGTAGACCAGGCCACCACATACTACCTGCATTTGCCTCTGGGTGGCCCGGGTTTCCTGCATCAACCTGTAAGCCATGGTGACATATTTGGACAATTTTTGACCCTTAGGGTACGCCAGGCCCCGGACCCCGCCCACGACCCCCTTGCACTTCAGCATCTCCCGACTGACGGCCTTGCCAGGGTGTCGGGGCAATCCCCAGGCCTTGTACTCTTCGCGTAGAGCTTCCACTTCAGGCGCGACTTGCCCCGCTGACTCCTCCAACACCTCGTGCGGGAACTTCTCCAAGAGATCATAGTTATCCAAATATACTCTCCAGCACGTCCGTCCATCAGGCAATACGTTGTCTTTTCTGATCTCGTTTCGTTGAGTGTTCCGGATGTGGTTGTGGCTTTGCGATCGGTGCACTAACACCCGGTGAACGTGCTGGGCGTTTCCCACACTGTTTAGAAACCCCATCGGCAACACCTTCGAACAAGGATAGCAGACCTGACCTGCATACTGTTCAGGTACCAGGCTGGCCGGCAAGGAATTGTTAAATTCAGAGGTACGGAAACCAGCAGGGTGGCAGACTCAGGGTGTAAAAGAAACACCGCAAGTCCTCACTAGAAATCACCGAATTTTCTCCGGGTTCAATATGGAAAGGCGACATCCCAAACCAATGTGGTAGCGTCTGAATGTCTCCGGCCATGGGTTGGCAGAGGTCGTTGAGCGGCACCAGATTCATAATGAGTCTGTAGATAGGGATCCCGGCGGCTTCTTCATTTTTCTCAACTCCAAATAGTCCGTTGAGCAGCAAATGGGGACCTACTCGAAAGACCTCTCACTCAGGGACCACCCCGTAAACCCCGGCTTGTATAAGCCCCTTGGCCACTTCCTCCCAGTCATGGTTCACCGAGCTCTCTTGGACGGCCCCCACTCCGAGGGAGGCTTCAAGTATGGAAAGTTCTCAATGTAATGACGGCACCCCTGTTCACAAATGTCTGTAAGCTGGGCCACACCTATTTCCTGGGGTAAGGCGGGCCTGATGTTGGACCAACTGAACTTCAAAGCTGTTTTCACCTCGTCACCCTTGTAATCGATGGTTCGTGCGCGAAAGAACTCCCCCCACTCAAAAGCGGCTGTCGTTTCCGGGATGTCCTTCATCCGAGCGACGTCCTCTAACAGGCCACGGATGACCCGGGCCTGCATCTTCGTAAGAGGTGGAAGATGATGTCCATCGCTTTCTTCCTGACAGTTTTTTGGCTTGGCAAAAGATGAAAGTAGATTGCGGGAGGTTGGAAGGGGGAAAGTATCATGGCCCTTTACCGTGTGACCGACCTCCCCATCCGTGGTCTGGCTGCAGAGCTTCAAAACCCCGTGCAACCCACCCAGTAAAGCTTCTCCCATCTCCCAAATCCGTAGTCCGCTCACGTCAGCGAATACTCCCTCCTTTTCTGACCCGTCTCGGATCAAGGGGTCTGGCCCCGAAAGGGTCGCCTCGAGCGCAAACGCAGCATTGCCGTGCGTCCTGCCCTTCGAAATCCCTATTGGAAAAACCACAGCCGGCGGAGGGGGGAAGGTTGAAAGCTCCCCCGGCAGCCCCTTCAAAGTGGCGCCACCAGCTGTCATATCGTTGCGCAATCCACCACAAGGCCTCCAGCCTCGCCAGGTCGTGTCACCATCAGGGCCTGTATCCCCGTACCATTGTCCGGGGCCGTTGATGATACCCTCCGCCTCTTCTCAGGGCTGTTCAACCCCACTCCTCTGCTCCTCACGAGTCCTTCTTCTGCTTGTCCTTGCCCTTCTTGCCTTTTCCTTTTCCCTTCTCCACTTTGTCGCCCTTGTGGGCTTTCGACCACCAGCTTCCGGGCTGGTGTGCCTGGGTCTCCGCCTTGTGCTCGGCCGCTGCTATTCGAAGCTCTTGTCTGGTCGAGAGGGTGGCCGTGTCGCTTGGCAACAACTCTAGTCGATGAGCTGAGGCCAATGGGAGCCCGCTGATCTGGGCTTCCAAGCATGTCTTCTATTGCTGCTGCTGACAACACCCCAGGGAAGCTCACCCCGACAGCCCTGATTTTGTGGGGCTCGCCGAAAATAGATTCCCCTTTTTGGGGAGCTTCGCTGCCGCTGCTGCTCCTGCTCCTGCTGTCTGACTTGTTTCTTCCTTTCCTCTGGGCGTACTTCTGGGCCTTCCTCTTTGCGCGATTGCGGACCTTTCTCGATGGGTCGAGCCCGCTTCGGCCAAACATGGTCTTCTGATCGACCATCACGTACCCCTTCTCCTCGCTGGTACTGCTGCTTGCACTGCTTCTCACAGGGCTGCCTTCCCCGCCTATCTCTTCCTTTTTCTTCCTCTTCCCTTTCTTTCTTTCTCTTCCTCTTGAGCGGCTCCCGGGACTCCGATCGCGTTTCTTCTTCCTTTTGTCTGAGCTTCCTGAACTCCTGCGCTTTCTCTTCTCCTTCTTTTTCTTCTTCTTCTTGTCGGCCTCCTTTCCGGTCGCTTTCTCCTTTGCGCCCTCTGCTTCTCCGGGATGACCTCCTCCTGCAACAGGGTCCGGAAGATCCTCCATCCGCCCCCGAAGACCTGCCAACTCGTCGCCGCCTCGATCGCCCGCGTTGACCAAGACGTCTCTCCAAGGCAAGTCTGCTAGTTCGTGTAGGCGCCGCCAATCTCTCGTGCCTCCTGACAATGTATGAGGCCTGGCCCATCGGATTCCAGGTTGGACTCTGGAGGGCACACATGTACCTTGGCCAGCGCGCGCCCCCCGGATCCCCACATCAGGAGGGACTCTAAATTGGTGCCCGTGAGCTTGAGCATCAAATAGCGGCCTGAAACGTCCCTGGTTTCTTCTATGATTTTCCCCGTGAACTGACAGGGATTGCCATAATAACTGGCTTTCACACCATGTACCATCATCCCAATAGCCAGCCTCCTCTGCCACGGCTGGCCGCCTCAACACCCCGCGCCTGCGAGGATCGGCGGCAGGACGGCGCACTACCTTCGGCGCCATCCTTTCCCTTTTCCTTTGCCGCGGCCTGAGCCGCGTTTCGAGTAGTATTGTCCTCGAAGAACGTGTTTGTAGCCTTTTTACCGAGGTGCCTTTTGACTCTCCTCCTGATAGTATCCAGGCGGTGAGGGTGACGTGGGCAAGGGCTTCCTCGCGGATGGTTTGGCCGTTCTTGTAAGATCTCCTCCTCCTTCGTGATCTCTCCGCCACTGGTTCTTTCTCTTTCTCAGCCTCTGTCTCCTTCTTCACTATACCCTGACTGGCAGAATCAGCTCCAGGATCTCGTTCTCCTCCACGCTCACCCGAACTGAAGGGATCTGGCCCCGATCCACCCTTTGTATCTCGGCCCTTTCCAGGGATTGGTGCCCCGTCCTCGTCGACGAAACCGGCCGTGCGGTCCGATTCGAACCGTTCGCAAGCTGCCTCGATGGTGTCGCAAACACGCCTCAAGTAGTGGAACAACTGGTCGGCCGATCCTGGTGGGGGTGAACACTAATTTCTCAATGCGGACTGTGAGAAAACAGGGATTGCAAAACCCCGAACTCCCTGGCGGTAGCTTGAGTCGGGAGTTGCAGCCTTTGCAGGCTGCCATCCAACTCTTACAGCCGAAACACCACGGAACAGATATAAACGGTGGCCTACCTTGGGCTTTGCCCCGGCACAGTAACAGTGACCACAAATCATACCACAAAAAAAGCACAGCAATTTAGCCATAGTTGGCATTAGGATGACTTTCATTTGCCCTTTCTAACGCTGGCTACATTAATCATGTGCTACAAAACCTTCAAGTCAACCCGATACTTTTTTTCATCTGAGCGCAAGCAGTGAAGAAATGATCGACAATATCGATCCAGTCAAAAAGGCTTGGGGATTCTGCTGCCAGACAAAATGAGCTGGGCAGAGCTGGGCTCTGGCAGGCCGGGTAGAAGGGGAGGCAGAGGCCGGGCAGGCCGCCGGAACTGTGGGCGGCCCCGGTGTTCCAGGCCCGGGGGGGGG